CTGCTATCTTAAGAACTATTTGTAGCCTAAATCAATGTACAGCATCTAAAAGGCTGGAATCCCAGTTTTCATATGGGACCAATTTTCTCCTTCCTATTCCAAGGAGCAGGGCAGTGCACATGCACTACTGCGTAGGATTACTCTTAAATATATTGCTGTGTCTGGCCCCCTTCACATCATTGCTCTGTACACAATAATGTACTATATAGCCACAACAAGCTTACACCCCCCACAATATTCAGAGAGATGGGTTGGAGAATAGTTTGCAGTGATTAGAGACTGGGGTATATATTATATTATAGTGTTCTATTTTCAGCAGCTGTGGTTACAGCATATTTCAATTCTGAGTCATCCCTGAATTTACAGCCACTGAAATGAAGGTGAAAAACATTTTAATCAGGATTCTCAGAGTGGCTGAAATGTAATCGTTTATCAACATTTATAGAATGAGTAAACATAAATGACTCCATTACTCTTTTTTTATATAATTCATTAAACACAGACGTCCTCAAACGAAGGGTTTTTTGGTGAGACAGTAAATGTCTCAGAGTTGCTGCTTTTGTGCCCGTGAAAAATTGTCAGTATCTTTTAGTGCTTTGTTTAGGTCAGAGTCACAAAAATGTTATATCTGTCACTGAGGCTATGTCTAAACCTCTGCCGCGTCCAGGGAATGCGTCTGCTCTTGTGCTTTTATGTGTGGAAGAGGAGGGAGAAGGGCCTTGAATACAACAGCCCTCAGCTTTGGTGTTTCCAAAATTTGGCCCAGTATAGATGGGCCAAATTTCAGAAAAGCCTCTTCTGAAAAAACTATCGGAAAAAGGTATGCAAATTGCAGAGTGCAATTTGAGTACCTTTTCCCAATAAAACCCCGTAGTCTAGACATAGCCTCAGTCGAGGTTCTGTATCCATTCCTCTGGGCCTGAGTCCGCTTTCACTTAAGCCAGTTTGGGCCCATCTACACAGCAGGGCTAAAGCCAAAATGAGCTATGCAACTTGAGCTACTTCAATTGCGTAGCTTAAATCGAAATAGCTTATTTCGGCTTTTGGCGCTATCCACACAGCAGGAAATCCAAGTTAGAGCACTCTTCCTCCAACTTCCCTTACTCCTCATACAATGAGGGTTACAGGAGTCGGAGTAAGAAATCCCTCAGCTCATCATTATTTCAACATTTTGTCAAAATAACTGCTTGCTGTGTAGACATGGACTATGTTATTTCAGAATAATACCAGTTATTCCGAAATAACTCTGCTGTGCAGACATAGTTTTACTTTAGCTACAGCCTGCTTGAAACAAATGGTTACAATACACTGATTTACAGCACTGAAAGTGAGGAGAATCACCCCTCCCCCTTGTCTTCTTTGCCCTTCTATAAAATATTGGACACAAGTCTCCAGATTTCTCTTTAGTGTGTGAAGTGATGTGATGTCTCATTTTATACAGGCTTTCTTTTCAGTTTTGTCCTGTGATGTCTATAAATCCAGAGGGGTTTCTTTTTGTGTGTTTGTTGTTTGATGTCTTGTTTCTCATGCCCAAACTGCTTGACTGCCTGTGCTTTTAGTGACTTTTCCTCTAATGTCTCCCATAAAACTTCTACTATTGCAGTTGCAAAGGACAATTGCATAATTGTAGTAATTGAGTAAATTTTCTCATAGATTTAGTTGAGTGCAGATAAATAATCTTAAACACTCTGCTAATTGCAGCAGTATTGTGCTATGCCTGGGTGCCCTGAGGAGGCTTTATGTTAAGACACAGTTGCAGTGAAAGGCTACCCTTTATAATCACACATTCTTCCATTAAAAAAACCCTCAGTAAAAACTGTTTTGCCAGTGCTTTTAAACAGCAAAACAGCATATTACTGGGGATTGTTAAAGTTGTGGGAAAACCTATATTCTGCCAGAAATCTTCCTAAAGGAAAGACCAACTCCCACACATGCTGGCTGTGCTACTTGGGGTATGTCTACGCTGCATCTGGAAGATGTGATTGCATTAAGGCTTTACTCCAACTAGCGTGGGTACCAACAGCAACGGGCATAATCCCGGGGCATAGATGCAGCCTTCATCAATATATGGGGGTTTTCTGTGCATGTGGGAACAGCAGCCTCCTGAACAATGTTAGCGATGTTGGTGAAAGCACTCTTTTGTTGACATAACTGTCTGCACTGGGGATTTTGCCAGCATACCTACATCAGTCAGATGTGTGTGTTTTTCCCGCATCCCCGACTGACATACTGATTCCAAACTACGGACTGTAGTTTATTGCATTGTGGGCCTGACCTAACGCCCTCTGAAGTATAATTTATTATTATTTTGCCTCTAACACGGACTGTAGTTTATTGCATTGTGGGCCTGACCTAACGCCCTCTGAAGTCTATGAAAAGATTCCCATTAACATTGATGAGCTCTGGATCAGGCCCCATCTCTGTAAATCGGCAGTGGGCAACCAGAGGTCCACAAGCTGCATGCAGCCCATTTATGTGTGGCCCATGAGACATTTTGTTTACCGCTGCCCACTCACAAGGTTGCCCAAATCCACTGGTTTCCATCCACATGGTTCTTTTCCTACTGGCATTACTAAAGTGACAAGAATGTAAAGCCAGGGCCCGTGAAGTGAGGTTCGTTCTGATTGACTGTGGGAGCAATACACTCTGCTGCATCTAATCAAAGCGCTGCTATGGTCCAGTCAGCACACCCTGCAAATTCCAGGTACGCAAGTACAGTGAGCAAAACTACCCTGTCTCAGGCGACCATCTTAGTTACAACAATCTTGCGGCCCACTGAGAAGAAGGAGGTACACACTTGCAGCCCACTCACTAGGCGAGGTGGCCCATCTCTGCTGTACATACCGTACTCAGCAAAGGTCAAGGAGCTGGAATCAGGAAAAATCCATTTTATAATATGTTCATTTCATTTCATAAGGTCACATTCATCAAAACCAAAGACGCCTATTCAAACGCACGCCTCTTAGGGCACAATATCGGAAAAGTAAATATTGCTATTATTTCTATTACATTAGTGCCTAGTGGTGTCAAGGGAGGTCAAGGTCCCATTGAGCACACATACAGTAAGAGAGAGTAAGCAACAAAGCTGGGAATTAATCCTATATGGCCTGAGTCCAAGTCCAGTATCTTGACCACAAGACCATCCTTCCTCTTATACATCATGTAAAATTACAGCTATCAGTATAAATAAGATTAATAATAGATTGTATAAAAGGATAGTTTAGAAAAAGGGTTGCCTCTTGGATTTGCATGTCAGCTTCACTTTGGGCTGTTTATACAGTGATAATTTCTGGATCTGCTATGGAAAACAAAGAACAAAGCCCTTTAGTATTTCCCTGATAAGGGGACTCTTTGGAAGAGATTGTGTACACGTGTTCCGCTAAGTTCCGTGTTTTATAATCCTTTTGGCATTTCACCTTTCAGAGCTATGAGATGCACCACTGAGAAAGGTGTTGAGGAAGAAGTTTTAGCTGAAACAACTTTTTCTTTACAGTTCACATATGGCACAAGAAAAGCAGCCAACTTTCACCAAATATAGTAAAAGCAAGCAAATGCCAACTCAGGTTGAAGTGATACCTTAGTCTCAAGAACTATGTTTAAAAAAGCATCAGAGGGAATACATTGACCTTAATGGAAACTTCTCCTACCATGGTCTCTTGCAAATGTAAAGCTGTTAGTTAGACTTCTCAGACATTTGTAGTTCTCCTCTTTACTAGTTTACTGCGCCCCCTGCTCACTATGCTCGCCAACTCCCCTTCCACTTTTCCTGAACAAGATGGTGCTCCGCCTGCATTCCCCAGAACTCCTGGACAGGCGGTGGGGACTTCAGCTGATAGTCTGGGTGTGGCAGGGCATGAGAGAGAGAGAGAGTCCCGCATCACCCTACCTGTTCGCAGCTGCCAGGGAGCCTAGCAGCGGTCAACCTGGCTGCAGAAGCAACAGCAGAGCCCAAAAGGGAGAGGGAGTGTATGTCTGTGGGGACATTTCTTATATATATAGAAAGAAATCTAAATTCAGCTGTTTTATTGCCCATTATACATTGTCTCTGTTGCTCGCCCTGCCTCAAAATGTAGGTGATCTCTAATGACAAGCAGGGTTCCTTTGTGCTAAACAGGAAACATGTAAAAGTGTGATGCAAAAATGTAGATGCTTACGCAGAAGAACACTTAAAATCAGTACAGGTTGAACCTCCCTGGTCTAGCACCCTCAGGACCTGACTGGTCCCAAACTGGGTATTTTGTAGGATCAGGGAGGTCATTTCTGGCCCCCAGCCTGTGTTTTCCTGGCCTAGCCACCAGCCTCTCTGACAGCTATCCCCCCAGGGCCAGCTTTAGGCCGATTCAACCGATTGCCCTGAATCGGGCCCTGCGCCTAAGAGGGCCCCGTGCCCTAAAGCCGGAAGTGTGCTGGCGTGACAGGTGCACTGCAGGAGGGGGCATCAGCCCCGGAGGAGGAGTGCAGCAGCTTCCCTGCGCCGCAGGAGGGGTGAGTTGAGATCAGGGGTTTGGCAGGAAGTCGGTACATGACTCTGCCCTGTAGCTGGGTATTTAAAGGGGCTGTGACTCTTTTTTTGTGTGTGGTGGTGGGTTTTTTTTGCTCAACAAAAAATCCTGGCTGCTGGGGCCCCATCGAAACTGTTCGAATTGGGGCCCGCACTTCCTAAAGCTGGCCTTGCACCCCCGCCACTAGTCCCGCTGCCCCACCAGTAACCCACTGTGATGCCAGGATCCCAGCCCCACCAGCACTGCCATGGCAGCCCACAGTGCTATGATCATGGTTCCCAACCCCACCATGGCTGACCCCGGCCTCTTGCCACTGCTAACTGTGGTTCCACTGCTAGACCACAGACATTGCCGGACCAGAGAGTCCTGGTTTAGAAAGTTTGAACCTGTTCTAAAGTCTGTGCTTCGGATATGCAGATCCTCACTTTCTTCAATTCCTGTATGTCACCTTCTGGAAGAAAAATGTGGAGAAAGCCAATGCAATTGCTCATATACATGTAGAGGTTACAGTAAAGAAATATGGAGGATCGCCTTGCTGGTACATTAGTCCAGAATTCCACTGTGCTGCCAGAGTGCAGGGGTATGTCTACACTGCATTCCTCTTTTGAGAGAGGAATGCAAATGCAGACAAACAAAATTGCAAATGAAGTGTGGATTTTAATGTCCTGTGTTTCATTTGCATAATCGCAGCTGGCTGCTTTTTCGAAATACTCTATTTCGTGATAAAAAACGCTGTCTAGGTTTAAGGGTTATTTCAAAAGAAGGGTTTTTTCTCGCAATAACCAGGTTTAAAGGTTATTTCAAAAAAGGGTTTTTTCTCAAAATAACCGCGTCTAAACAGCGTTTTTTATCTCGAAATAGGGTATTTCGAAAAAGCGGCCAGCCACAATTATGCAAATGAAGCACGGGAAATTCAAATCCTCGCTTCATTTGCAATTTTGTTTATCTACAATTGCATTCCTCTCTCACAAGAGGAATGCAGTGTAGACATACCCCAGTATAGCATCACCCATATCTAGTTGGGGGTTGCATATTTGGAGCAGGGAGGCTCATTTTGTGGGATGGACTCCAAGTACATGTAAGAAGAAAATAAATATATTTAGTTCACAATCCACTTAATTTGGAGGAGTCTGTATTTCCCTTATATATGATGTATATTTAAGGGTCTACTAGGATCAGCTGGTATGACCTCCTGTAAAATAGAAGTGATAGAATTTCCCCCAAATAATTCCTGTTTGCTGTAAAAAAAATCTGTTAGAAAACATGTAATCTTGATTTAAAAATTGCCAGTGATGGAGAAACCATCAAGTCTCTTGGAAGATTGTTCCTGTGCTTAATTACGCTAATCCAGAATTTATGAATTTTACATAGACAAATTTCCCAAATTGTCACACTGATGTCACACTGTTTCTTACCTGGCTCATTGTGCAGCCCCGTCTTACATTTTGTTTGGCTAAAGGCCTTATCTATACATGTACTTTAGAGAGTTTGTCCATCAGTCTATTCATGAGTCCGTCCGTCCATCTGTGAGTCTGTATGTTCAAGAACTCCTCCTGAACGGTAAGAGCTAGGACCACCAAATTTGGTATGCAGCTTCCTCTTCTACTAGCTTAAAGCAAGGTTAGGGTTTGGTTGTGCCAGGAAAATGGGATGTGCCTGGAATTGGATCGTTTTTCATAACATGGAAAGGGAGGGGTCTGATAGGAGGGATAGTTGTGTTCTGCAATGACACAGGGGGCAGCAAGCACAGGGGACAGTAGTATGCAGAAAAAGAGTAGCCAATTGGGGCCAGGACTCTCTATATTGTCAGCCATTGGCCCAGGTAAGTGGCCTTTCTGTCCCAAACCCCTCATCCCAAGCCCTTGACTGAAGTGCCAGTTGGGGGGGTGGGGTGGCGGGGAGCCCTCCCAGCTAGCAACCCTGCTCCTCCCTCTGTGAGGAGCTGCTGGACAGCCCTCCCCTGCTCCCCCAGGAGTCACCAAGGCAGTGTAGTCCCACCGCCCTGGGAGGAGCCGCCATCGGAGCAACACTTCTTTTACCACCATCGGCGGCCCTGGTAGCCCCCACCCTGATCTCCTGGTCCCCTGGCATGAGCCTTCCCCCCCGTCTGCTCTGAATCCTGCACTCTCCCCTGCCATGAGCTCCTCACACCTCCTAAACCCACAAGGCCAGGTAAATCTTCTAACACACACACACACACACACACACACACACACACACACACACACACACACACACACGATTATGATCCTGAGAAAACTTGCATCCAACCTGGAAGAAACTCTGTAGTTTAGGCACTGCATAGGGATACCTAAAGCTGGGGGCTTACCTGTGGTGGTGGGAGGAGGGTGGGCCAGGAGGTGGACAGAGAACCACTACCATGGTTTAATTTATGCCAAGTGATGGAGCAAGCCCAGTAGCACAGCATCCCAGAGGAGCATAAAGATGGCTTAAAGAGACCATTCTGTTTTGGAGCTCTGAGCGGCACAGCATAGAATTTCAGCCATAGTTTCTAAACTGTAAATATCTATAATAGTAAGCCTAGAGGATGATAAGTAGTTCATTAGATCTTTCTGGGCAGACTGGTCTCCAAGCATCATTAACCCTTAAGTTGCTCAGGCCCTTGTGATCTGCATCTCTACGCAATAAGAGTGAATTACAGTTATTGTGAATAATGGGCAGTGGTTCCCCTACTTTAAGAGGGGAATTGTGATTCAATGTCACTCCTTTCCACAGCTCTGCTGGGTGGCTCTGAGGTTGTGTTAAAAATGCTCAGGGCATACACTGAAGGAAAGTGGAAATAGTTCTATCAACATCCTAGGTTAGGCATAGCTAATGTTGCTCAATTTCTGACCAGCTCACTGATGACAGTTAATTGAGACTATATCTGAGGTGGCATGTCCTGGCAGAACAACCACAGGGAGGGTGATTAGCCTCTGGAACAAATTCCTAAGTGAATTGTTGCAGTCTCCATTTCTTGAAGTTATTAAGTCAAGACTGGATACTTTTCTGGAAGATATATGTAAGTCAAACAAGTTACTAGAGTCCATACAGGTATTAGTGGATGAAATTCTATTGCCATATAGGCGGACAGACTAGATGATATAATGTGCATAAAACATGGGAGTGTCTGTGAGATTGAGTCCCTCTGTGGATTTTGAATCATATAAATAATTTCAGCTTTTTAAATCCACCAGACATATACATTGATCACTTTTCCAGTTTCAGTTACTTTTGTGTTGGTGAATAAATTAGGTTGTTGGAGGTGTAACCCTTTTTTCAGATGTAGCCAGCAGCAGCCAGGACCAGGTTCTATATCTAGGGGTTCCTTTCCAGCCATCCAACACAGAACTGGCTCGAGCCTCCACCCAGTAATCTGGCAAATTCACACACCACCCCAGAGCGCCCTGAGAGGCAATGCTTCCCCACTAACAAGCACAGAGTCTGAGTGCAGAAAATACACTTTTAATAACAGGCAGGTAAGTAACTTGGCATTAATTTGGGAAGACCCACAAGCAGGACTCATAAACATAGACCACAAGTAAAAGTCCCACCTCAAGTAGGGTTGGCCAATGTCCTTTCCCTCTCATGTTCTTACGTCCAGCAATCTAAATGGCCCCTTCACATGCCCAATCCTTCAGAGTTCACCTCGCCCCTGAATGGAGGAGAGGTAAAAAAGCATCCTATTCAGTCTGCTGGTCACTCATCACCCACATGATCACTGCTCTCTGCCATCATCCTGCTGGCTGCTTGTCACACCTCTCTGCTAGCACTCTGTGGGCTGTGTGTCATGATGTTTTGCTGCCACCCTGTTGGCCCCTTGTTACATCACACCAGCACCACCTTGCTGGCCTCTCATTGCATCTCTCCACTCCCACCTTGCCAGCTATCAGTCACCATCCACCTCTCAGCTGTGACTTCTGCCCATCAGTCTCAAATGATTTCGACTCCTAGTGATTTCAATCTTAGCAAACAGGGTAAAAAAACCTAAAATTCCAACACAATTAATATAAGAAAAGAGGCTCTTGATGCCTATTAAGCTCTGTTGTTTGAACTTGGCTGTGTGTGTGTGTGGAAGGGGAAGACAAGCAAGGGAGGGTGTACAGCATGGGCCCGCAACCTTTCAGAAGTGGCATGCCAAGATTTAACTTATTCATGTATCTTTGTGCTGGGAAGAGCAGGGGCAGGCTGGGTAGAGTGACCATATTTTCTGAACCAGCTGCAGCTAGGGAGAATGGTTTAATTTAAATTATTAAACAGATTAAGAATTTTAACTTTCTCATGTTAGTTTATCAAACTTCAGGTAAAATATTATGTCTAACACAAAAGGTTTCAATGCTTTCTTTGTTTATAGCAGGGGTATTCATTTTGATCACACTTTTCTCCCATATCAGTTCAGTAGCAGGGAGCGGCAGCATCGGAGATCTGATTTTCTTTTTTCCCCTAATAGTATTTTGGAATTGGTCTCCTTTGGATCTCTGAAAAGCTAGATGGAGAGATCTGATTTGCTTTTTCCCCCTAATAGTATTTTGGCATTGGTCTCCTTTGGATCTCTGAAAAGCTAGATGGATATTTATGCCTCTAAATGTGAAACCATTTAATGCTAACCAGAATGGACAGCAGTGTAGGAAGCTAAGGCCAGCCAACAGGCATAATTAGTAGTTTTGAAACAATAATTTCAGAACTCAGGAAGCATGAAGACAAATTCATTATTGATTCAGCCCCTGAAATGTTTGGTTCTGTCTGTACCATGCAGAGAATGTTATCAGCTCCAAGGTTACAATCCCTGTTTTTGACAATTTATACTGTGGGGGAGGCAATAGTAGTAAGTTGGTCACTGGACCATATCAGATCTATTTCACATCTCTTCCCATCCCTTTTGTTCTAGGCCTCACCCCATCCCACAGTGTGATAAAATCTGGAGTTTTTAAATAAGGGTTATTAGAGATTTATTTAGAGAGTCTTATGGGATTCAGGGAGCCTGGGGTCACATTCCTAGCTCTGCCACTGTTGTCCTAGATGAGGGTAAATTATTTAATCTCTTTGCCTTGGCTCCCCGGCTTTAAAATAGCAGTTAACTTTTCCTTTGCCTCTCATCTGTTTAGAATGTGAGATCTTCACTGGAAGGATAAGTTGCAAAGGGGTAGCTGTGTTATCTGTATCTGCAAAAACAAGGGGGAGTCCTGTGGCACCTTAAATACTAACAGATTTATTTGGGCATAAGCTTTTGTGAGTAAAAACCACTTCATCAGATGCATAAGGGTCTTTTTGTTTTTACTGGAAGGACAGTCTTTTATTGGGGTGTAGTCTCTAAATGTATTTAGGAATCTAACCTCACATCACTGGCCCTATGTGGTTGGGCCTGTAGCCTCTATTACAATGTCAATAATAAGGCTCTGTTTAATGTTGATAAAACTGTTTTAGCTTCTCAGATGACAAATGCTTTGTTCCGAAATTCTAAACTTCTCTGTCTAAAGCTAAGCGCCAAAATCAGCTGAGCAGGCTGACTCCTGATCCTCTTCTTCCTCCTCCACAAAACTAGCCTGCTCCCTATAGATCTTAGCACCATTTAAAAGGGGAGCAGGGGATGGGATTAACACCCCATGAGTGTTTCTATGCAGAGCTTCCCCCTTGAACCTGCCTCATTTCCACTGGTTTTGCAGGTGATCTCTGAGCCTCCATTTCTGCTGCAGTTATTGGTCTCCACCTGTCGAGCCAGTTTTTCCTTCTGCTTTGCTCTAAGGTTTAAGTCATAAGGGAACATTGTGATCCTCATCCTGCATGAGATAAGTCATAAAATCTCACCCAGTGAGTGCTGCTTCAAGGCAGCATCATGCACCCCAGGAACATCACTTTTCTAGATGCTAGAGCTACCCAAAGGCTCTTGCATGGAGTCTCTTCATTTCCTGTTGCAGGCATGATGGCCTCTCTCCTGCCTGCTGGGCTTCCAGCCCTGTTGGAGACCTTAAGCTCCCTTCTCCCCGTAGGATCTTTCTCTAGCATGGAGCTATCTCAGGCTACAAGATCCAGTGGCTTTTGTCCTCAAAACCAGTAAAGTTGTCACCCTCATGTCAGATCAGTTGCAGGCTTGGCCAGGGAAAAACATTCCCATCAGCCAGTCCCATTTTTGGTGGGGAGCGGTGAGAAAGTGAAGGGAGGAGTGGGACTGAGAGAAGATGCAGGCTTTTTGCCCTCTGTGGCCAAGCACAATCTATTCATTTGTGTAAGAACAGAGCTAGCCTTGAGCTGGAGAGTCAAAGAAATAGAGACAAAGTCATTTTTCATAAGGATCTTTTATTGCCTAAAAGTCAGGAAGAAAAGACCCTTTTGGTTATTCTAATCTTTGTTGGATTTGAATCAGAGTCTTAAATGGGCCAGCTGTCAAGCACCCATAGCACATGCTTGGGGGAAATCTAGAATATCCCGTTTTATGAAATCAAAAAACCATTCTAGTCACTTAAACCCACAGCATTCTGTGCTTGTTCTATTGCACTCACCTACATCTTTGTATTAAGAACATCATTAAAAAACTTCTCATCTGTCTGGTCAACCTGTTCCAGAAGCATCCAGTAAACAGCCACAATTCTCCTCTGCAAGCCCTTAGCAGGCCAGGGAATTTATGCAAGGACAGACTGCAATATTTATTACATTGCTTTCAATTCCCCTTATGCTTTATTTTTGTAAAC